TACTCAAGTACGGAAAGTGAGTACTTTTGCCATCTCTGCTTATTAGAGATATCTAACCACCAACCGGTAGAAGGAGAAACTCACATTTATTGCTATATTAAACTCAGCATAAGAAGCAATACAAATGTATTTATTGACTGAAAACAAAAAATGAAGTTAATAAACTTTAGTAATCCTGGTTATTTCACTTCCAATGGAGCCATCTTGGCAGAATGATGCTATGTAATATTGGATCACATTTGGTTTTGCTCATTGGATGATTAATGTTTGATGAAGCGACTGGAGACATCGGCTTCTTTAACCTGCATCTGTCTAAAGTCAGTCCAAACACGAACAGCGCAGGGGTAGGAACCTCCAGTTCCAGATCTTTAGATGCATCATGGTCCAACACCTGAATCTGATGCCTGAATGAGCTCCTGAGTAAGACCTCAATTCCTCCAAAACCCCTTAATCATCTAATCACATGACTCAGGTGTGCTGGACCAAGGACGCATCTAAAAGCTGCAGGATAACGGTCCTCAGGAACAGGAAGTGCCCACCGCTGTTTCATCTCAGACACAGAATGCAGCTTTGTTTAAATAACATTTTTCCACTGGGAAATAATCCGATTAATTGATAAACTAATTAATGAAACCACTTTACCGTGTGCTACAGTCAGGCAGCTATCAGACATGATGCTAAGATGAGACCGATGGGTCTCTTCAGGACTTTTATTTTAGCTGATCAGAACCAGGTAAGAAAGGAGTCTGTTAGCGGAAGAGATGATTCTTAGAAGTGAACCATATAGAATCGTTTGATTCAACCTCCATAAAATAGATTTGTTGTCAAACTGCTTTGTGTTTTTCTCCTGCTTGACTTTGGATCCATCCAGTTTGTAAGTTTAACATTTGGACTTACTTTCCTGTTGGTCTGTGTCATGTGGTGCTGACAGCAGTAGATCTAGTTGATAGAAACTGATGGGATCTAGATTTAATTGAACAAGTTTTGTGATGTTTCTTTTCTTTGCTTTTTTTGTATGAAGAAACATATTTAGACTGAAGGAGCTTTTTTACCTGGTTATTCTCCTGGACTTGTTTATATAAATAACTACAGGCCATTCACAACTGATGCAACTTTCTGATTAGAAAGACAGTTTTGTTTAAGGGTTTTTAAAGGAGTTGTTGTGTTTTTCCATGATATGAACTTATATATAGTTCAAAGTTCTTTAAGCGGATTGTGGTGTTAATTTAAACAAAAGCTTATTGGTTGTTTAAATATATCACACTATAAATTCAATTCAGTTTATTCATATAGCTCCAATTCACAACACACGTCATCTCAAGGCACTTTAAAGTTCACCAGATCATCCAGTCAGATTGATTCAGTGTTTTATATCTAAGGAAAACCAGTAGATTGCATCCACTCATTGACTCGAATGCAATCCATCACGCCAAGCATGCTTGCAGTGACAGTGGAGAGGAAAAACTCCCTTTTAACAGGAAAAAAACCTCCAGCAGAAACAGACTAAGTATGAGCGGCCATCTGCCGAGGCCGACTGGGGTTCAAAGAGACAGAAGCAGAGACACAAAAGGCAATGGTAAACTAGCTCCACAGGCGGAAAAACACAGCCAGGAAAAAATCCGAAAATCTGAAAAACACAGCCAGGCAGACGAGCTCTGAGCCAGCTCCCATGTCAGAGGATGAAAGAGAGCACATCCAGTTAGTCAGTCAGAGAAACAGGACTACACTTAAAAACAGGCCGATCTCCAACATCTATAAACAAAGGTGTTGACAGTCAAATGGAATAGGAAAAAAAGGAACAGACCAGATGAAGCTACTATGAGAAAAAGCAAAGAGAGCATAACGTTAGAACTTGAAATAATAAATTCAGCAGAATTGGAGAATAGAGATAGAATAAAGTAGAATGATGAAAAGGGGTCCCTATGTCCTCCAGCAGTCTAATCCTATAACTTACAAATAAGGCTAATAACTAGTTTATGACATGAGCTGAGGCTTTAAGGGGTGTGTCAAGTAGTAAATGGGGTGTTCCCGCAAAGTGCGTATTGAGGCTTGCTTCAGTTAGGGGCGGAGCCAAAATCGGTGACACCCGAAGCCTCGCTGCTGGTACTGGTACTGCTACCATGTGACCGCTTCAAGAAGTGGTTCAGATCGCCCAGCTGTCACTAAAATGACAGAAAACAGACATTATACTGTACCTTAAAAGTGACACACAAAACTCCTTAAAAATAGTTTATTATACACGCAAATGATTAACACTTTCAAAGGAACTTAAATGTAAAAAACAAAACAAAAAAACTGTTGCAAACATCACAGATGATATTGCAAACTGTAGTTATGCATTTCAATGGTAGGTGACATGTTCACACACAGCTTCATGACATATGTGTTTCGTTGAAGCAATTTGTTGAAACGTCTCAATTCCTCACGATTTATCTCACCATCACTGCTTATAGCCTTCTCTGTGATTTAACTGATATGTGGATTTTTGTTAGATTTGCCTTTTCCCATTATTAGAAATATATAATTTGCCACCCTGTTAGACTTATGAAAGGTATAGAGAATGATTTTTTATTTCTAGGTGGATCATCAAAGTAAGTGGTCCTCCTAATCGTCAATCATTCTGGTGATATTTTTACGTCAGGCCGTCCAACGTGCCCCTGCCGTTAGCGATATTTTTCTGCGCATGCACACTTTCAGCCATATGGGTGGTGAGCTACGGTTTAAGAAAGTCACTGAAGCTCACCTTTTTCCCTGTGGTTCTTTGAAAATGGCCGAGTGTGGTAAGACAAAAAGTAATTACGAAGTGTATGAGAAGAAAAGAAAGCCCTCAGGAAATGCAGATATATCGCGGAATGCTTTGGGCAGAGAGTTCTTCTCGCAAAGCATTATGGGATTTGCTGTCATACGTAGTGACCTGCTGTCACCGCCCAGGAGCGGTGACTAATAACAAAGATGGTGCAGGCACCACGCAGTGAAGGAGGAGTTACGTGACCAACAGGGAGCAAAAAGCAGTGATCACCTGTCCGAACTAATGTCCAGAACCATTAGTAAAAACAATGCAAGGTTTTAGGTGTGATTCACTAATCTTATTAAATAAAGGACCTTTTTTAGTCTTTGATCAGCTGTCAGTTGTAAGGGAGGTTTATTCGCAGTGGTTCACTGATGGATCGCTCACTGCTCCATTAGTATTTTCTCTAATGAGATCTTTGGGCGCTTCCTCTGAGCAGAGCAAAGCTTCCAGACCAGCTTTAAATGTATTTATTTCTATCAGTAAGTGTTGCTGCTTTTTGCTTGTCTTAACGTCTCTGAAGACTGTGGACCAAAGTCTGGACCTTTTTCTTCTGTGTTTGAGATCTTTAAGCATGGCAGATAGTCTATTTCTATGATCTTGTTGTGTCCTTCACAGTCCTGCTCACAGAGATTGATTAGAGGACATTAACAAACACGATTAGCAACACATTTTCATTCAGCACAATGGTGATGGGATAACCGTCCTTGAATGCGGCTCTTTAGCTGAGAATTAAATCCCTCTGGGCCGAATTAAAGCTCACATTACTGAGGAGCAGTTTGTCTGTCTGCAGCTTGCAGCCAAAGCTGTTTAAACTAATTAACCATGAATTCACTTCAAAGCGGGACTTTATTGAATGAGCTGCGTTTCTCTGTCTGTCTGACACAAAAGCTGAAGCGGGGAAACGTCGCAACGCAGAAGATCTGCTCAAAGCTGAATGCAACGAGGAGAAAAATCCAACATTCCTGCAGCGCAGAGACCAACATTCCCATGAAGATCTGAGGAAGGAGTTCAAACACCAATAGACACCAATTCATCTATGAGATTACAGATTCTGGAAATTATTTTAGTCACTGTGAGCTGAATTCAAAAGTATATTGAACCTGGTTGATCAAATAAGGTTGATCAATGTCACATATCTTCAGTTTAAAGCTGTTAAACCTGCATCTGTCATTTATGAGTATGTTGTTTCACTCTGGAGGGGATTTATTAGGATTGTTTCACCTTTTCTAGTGAAACTGAAGTGAAGGACCGACTTTCAAATTTAAAAGGCCTGTGAGGTAAAATCAACCTTTTTCAGCCTTTAGCTATAATGCTAAAGGCTATCAAAAATCATTGCAAACTGGTTTCAGCCTTCATTCATAATCCTCAACATCTGCTATCTAAGTAGCAGCCCTCACCTTGAAAATAACCGTTTGAAGAATATCAACGGTTCTATGAATTCCAGATGACCGCCAGAGCGCATGGTCCCTCGCAATCATTGTGTTTTTTGCGAGAAGATTAAGGGACTTAGCCGTCGTTGTCACGCGTGACAATACAGACTTACCGGTGTCACCAGGGGTCACATGTGACCATGTTGGTATAAGATTCTCGACCTGTGCATGCACAAGAGTGATCATTGGTGCTTTAAGCACCGCCATCCTTTGGCACATTCTTCTTCTTTGACTATTTGAGCTGGTTTCTACAATTTCTTCACTAGGAGATAAATAGAGTCAATCAATCGACAGTTACGCCTTCCTGATTAATATGTCTCAATCTGGATTAAATTGTGGGCGATAGTCTCAGTCCTTCAGCAAAGTGTGATTAAAAGACACTTCTATGGGTCAAGACTGTTCTGGAGAACTGTGATATAAGCTAGGGGACATAAGGGTGGAAGTGTTTTGGGATCAGCTTGTTGGGAGCCTCCTGGTGTGAAAGGTTTGTTTATGGCTCAGAGTTTCTGTTTTAGGTTTGTGTCTTTGCTCACATCCAGGTGTGTGTTTCAGACAGCGCTTCACTGGGCGGCCAAGCAGGGACGTCTGGAGGCTGTGGACATGATGCTGCGCTCTGGAGCCGACGTCAACGTCAGATCGGTCAGTGTGTGTGGGGTTGGGGGTGTATGTGCGTGTGTGTGTAACTGTAATCTTTAGTTTTTCTGATGCCTTTTTCTGAAGGAGAATTAAATGGTTTTTTTTTCCTTTTGTGATTAATAAGCAAAAACCTCTACTCACATCATTACTGAGCATCGAGCATCAGTGAGGTTCAGGTGTGATCCTCTGATTCTCTGCAAACAATGATCGTTGTTTTCTTCCTGAGATCTTTACAAAAATTATAATAAACATTATTGTGCTGAAAATAATGTTTATGTTTATTTAGCAATACAATGTTTCTGTTATTTAGCAAACTTGCATCATATTTTCTGCTTTTTTCTAACATTTAGATGTTGTATATTTGTTTAATCCTAAATCTTAAATCTAAATTAAAGGAATAGTACACCCAAAACATGATTAGCCTTCATTTTCTACTC